GAAGAGTGGCTGTGCGGTGCTTAGTTGCCAGCTGGGTTTAAACCACTATAGGACACCTGAAATTCAATGTAGAATGATAGTGATGTTGAATATAATATCTCTTAAAGAAGCAATTCACTCAGGAAAATAGCACTCAAACTCTATTACCCAGACTAAATTAAAACCTCTTTGCTCCTGTAGTACTCAGAAAAAATATTAATACATGGGAAGGCTTTTCTTTAACCTTCTCCTTTATCTTGATATATTTTGTGACAAAGAAGATTAAATCAGGAAGACATAAATGAAACGCCTTTGATTTAAATGCTAAGATAAACATTATCTACCGTCTTTCATTGCCTCCAGTAGCACTGCTTAATGCAGTACAAGCTGGGAAGAGCAGTCAGTGTCTAGTGCCTTACTCTAGATCTTAAGAACTCTGACTTTAGTGGACATGGTAGCAACGTTGTCAGGACTGTAAATTGCTACTATTCCATTGGGCAGAAAAAAGAGTGGGGATCCTGGACAGCAACCAAAACTCATAAGAATATCGGTGTTTGGATTAGGCAGAACACTGTATACATTGAGTTGGACAAGAAGTAGAAAAGAAGACGAAATCTCTAAAAGAAAATGCAGATTAACTTAGCTATTGTCTGAACAAATGAGTTCATCAAGTGACAAATTAAAGGCACAGCCACGAAAAGAAAAATCATTGATTGATAGTATTGGTGATAATGAAGAAAAGACATGCTTTCCATCATTAACTCAAAGGAAACTGGTGTGAAAGTTCAGACACAGAAATTCCTCCTAGCTTTTTTTTTTCATGAGGAATTCTAGAGAAATTTTCAAGGATATTTTAGAAATTCTTTATCAATGAAAGATTCTTCAATGGAAAGCACATGCATTTTTTCTATCTTTCAAGTCTCAAAGGTAACAATGGAAGAATGAGAGTTAGAAGGAATAACCATGTCTTTAAAGGAGAGATTTCAAATGTCTTCGAATGGGAACCGAGTGAGAAACTAAGTTGATGATTTATTGAGCTCCTCAGGAAATTGCAGGAAATGAAATTCGAAACCTCTGCAAAATTAGATTGTTATATGCTTTGTTGAATGTGCCATTAACAAGCTGACTTTTGTAATATTAGCATCCTGAACCGTAATTCTCAACTAAAAACATCAGTGTATTATTGTCCTGCTTTTGGTTGGGATAAAGTTAATTTTTCTCCCAGTAGCTGCTGTGTTTTGGATTTAGTGAGAGAAGAATGTTGATAACACTGATGTTTTCAACTGTTACTAGGAAATCAAAGACTTTTTTCAGTTTCTCCTGTTCAGCTAATGAGCAGGTGTGCAGGAGCTGGGAGGGAGCAAGGCCAGGCAGCCAGCCCGAGGTTGCCACTGGAAATACCCCATGCCATAGACAGCATGCTCAGTTTACAGACGGGGGGTGGCCGGGGGGAGAAGGCTATGGGCTTTTTAGCTTTCTGGGAGTTTGAATCCTCTCTTCGCTGGGAGTTCAAACTTTTTTTTTTTTTTCCGGGCTGCAAATTGGTTGTCAGGTGATGAGAAAAATTGTATTCTATATAGTTTATTTTGCATATTCATTATCATCATTATCATTACTATTACTAGTATTATTACTAGTATTTCCTTTGTTGTCGTATTAAACTGTCTTTATCTCAACCCACGAACTTTCCCTTTTGTCCATTTATCCTCTCCATCTCGGGGGCGGGGGGGGGCGCGCGGGGAAGAGAATGCGTGAGCGAGCGGCCGCCTAGTACTTAGTCGCCCCAGCTGCCCGGCTAAACTATGACAATTATAGACATTCTTCTCATACCAAATCCAAAACACAGCAGCTACTGGGAGAAAAATTAACTCTATCCCAGCCAAAATCAGGACAGTATCTTACAATGTCAAGGTGAACCAAAATGTCTCAGAGCCTAACTGAAAAGGCAGAGCTAGGAAGTAAGACCTCTTCTGCCCTGTAGAAAGACGTGGTAGAAAAATGTTACTTAAAGCAGAATTGCCCTAGGTCAGTCAATGCTTCCTTTGGGGCAAGCATTACAGTGTAAAAGTGTATGAATAGAATAAGGTGAAGAACACATTTTTGGAGGCATCCCTGTCTATCCTTTTGACTTGGTGACTAAAAATTACATGATGAGGCATCCAGTGGTAGCACAATAGTAGTAATATGGTTGTTGTGGTCTTCCAAAAGGAAATTCTGAAAAGAAAGCAACTGTGACCAGCAGCATAGTTATTTAAGCATTTATAGTGGATTTGGGAAAAAAGACCCATTATTCTTAAAGGAAAGTACTTACTTTACTGACAGCCCTGTTCAACCAAGTGCGAGGTGTTTAACAATTATTATGCAAACTTTTGCATAAATCTCAACAAAGGGGAAATACTTCCTTAGAAATGTGCAAGAAAAGAACAGGGAAAAACAGAGTGTTTTGGAAAGTTTGTACATTTGACATGAATTTCTGAAATAATTTTAAACTATATGGCCAAAATTTTCAAAATTGATTTTCAGAGATCTGTGTTAAAATATTTACAGTGCTTGCCTGTCATGCTCTCAGAAAGAGCTAAATTGTCTGGTAAATCAAGCATCTTTGAAATGATACAAGTTGTGGAAACAATCCAATCGTTACTAATTTACTCATTCGAAATTGTATCATCAAAAATTAAAAGATCTGGTTTTAAAAATAAAAGATGAAAATCCAGAATTTAGTAAAAAAATCAACCTAGATATGTTCTCACTTGAATCTTCAGACTACAGTGTTAAAGCATATCTATTCCATTCTTGCAACTGCAAGTATAACTTATTTAGATTATGGTGCAGACTAATAGCTTTACTCATGGACAAGAACCTTATTGTATCAAATAATACATACACAGGAAATGAACAAATTTTCGAGTCAAATTGGTTTTCCATCTAAGACAGGAACAGAACAAAACAGGTAAGTGATTGAAGAGGAATACAATGAGACCGCATCAATTAACATTCTGGAGAGTGTTATCAGTACATCGATGAGCCTAACTGCCTATTAGTTAGGCTGTGTGTGTATAAATCACAGAATCACAGAATAGTAGGGGTTGGAAGGGACCTCTGTGGGTCATCTAGTCCAACCCCCCTG